AACAACTCTAGGAGTGGAACACAGCTATTCCTTGGAAACAGAAAAAAATAAATGACGAAACCATTCATCACATTGAACCTGACTATTGCATTAAATCTGGCCTGGTCAACGCTCGACATGCTCGGGAGCACCAAGTTACCCATGTACAGATTCTACCATGAAGTTGAGTCAGGTACCATGTGTCTCTTGGTGATCGACCTAATTCTAGGCCATTAAACGTGAGTTAGTGGACTTAAACAATACGTTGGTCGTCTTGAATAAGAATTGGAAGTATTATAGTCTGTTTGCAGTGAAAACGTACCGATGAAATCAAATAAAGTGAAATTAAGGATGCGAATCTTCATAATTTTGCCTTGCCAACTGAACATTTAAATGTCAGAATTTTATTCATTGTAGGACAAAAGTTGTTTAGCAAACGATCATACATTCAAATCGCTATTATTGGTTTGTATTACAAGGGGGCAAGAGCAGTAGTTGGAACAATGAAACAAATGCACGTGCGGTTCGTGATGATCGTTAACTTAGACCAACTCTACGCTTGTTCTCGGTATTTCATTTAATGTGCATACACCCTTGTAATACAAACCAATAATAGCGATTTGAAACTATGACCGTTTGTTAAACAACTTTTATCCTAAGTTGAATAAAATTCTGAGATTTAAATGTTCAGTTGGCAAGGTAAATTTATGAGGATTCGCAATCTTAATTTCATCTTATTCGATTTACATTTTTGTTTAAATTGATATTCATCGGTACGTTTTCAATGCAAACAGACTATACAAATGAGCACTTTTAACAAGCAGAATGTTACTCACCTGCGAAGTACTTGTTTTCCAGGGGAGCATTTGCGATTTATTTCGTCGCTACATCCTGAGCAACATTTAACTTGGCTCACATGGATGACTCGCAGTTCCATCTGGCGTCCATCACCAGACCCTCACAGTTGGTTTCAGATGGCGGTTTAGCGCTCCGAATCTGATGACGGAGTAATCCAGATCAGTGTGGGCAATCCAGTACTAAGACGACGACAGGTATATCCTTTTGCGTTCACCATACATCCCTGAGAACCCGCCACAGCCAATACCTCTCCTGGCTGACACTGGTAGTTAGTGCGGATGTCTGCTCGACATATTCAGGGGATGAACCACCGACATACAGTGGTTGTTGACAGAACAATTCAGTACCAAGACTTCAACAGGTATTCTTTGGCGTTCACAAGGTCCCAGGAACCCACAGACACAACCCCCTCCCCAACCCTCCGACATATTCGGGAGATGAACTGGGTGTGTTTCAAACCCCATCGGACCTTCATGGTGCCGCTGAAGAAGTTCAGACTTGTCCTGCAACAGATAAGCTCAAATATAATCCAATCAGAACTTAGCCGTGTCCTTACAAAAACTCTCTATGAGTGAGTGAGTGAGTATGGTTTTACGCCGCTTTTATATTTTATTATATTATATTTATATAGCGCTGAGTTTCAGCTCGGCTGCTCGCATGCGCTTTTTAGCAATATTCCAGTAATGTCACGGCAGGAGACACCAGAAATGGGCTTCACATATTGTACCCATGTGGGGAATCGAACCCGGGTCTTCGGCGTGACGAGCGAACGCTTTAACTACTAGGCTACCCCACCGCCCAAGCTCTGTATGAAGGTCATGTGATTGCACAACTGAAACACTGGTTCATGATTTCGACAGGTTAACCTTATTTATACGAGATAAAGTCGAGCTGCCATATTGAGAGATCAAGTAACGTAGTTATGTACATCATTATCCCAGAGGTACACGCTATACAAAATGATTGCATATGGAGGGAGAAGGCGGAAGGAAATCAAATTTATACCTGTACTGGTACCGACTTTATGCAGTATTAACAGATTAGTTATTGACGTATACGGAAATAGAGATGAACACATTATAGCATGTCGGGAAAATAATCGACATGACTTATTGTTCATGCTTATAACTCACTGTTTGTTTCTTGCAGTACCAGTATTGTCTTGCATTGTCACCAATTATCTTGAAGTGTCCGATCTGGACAGATAACTCTTCACCTTCCACACGCCCTGCTCTGTCTCCGACATCTGCGGGATGTTCCATAAACGAAGTTCGGGGATCGAACCCACAACTCCGATTGTATCCCGTCTTTTTGTCCTCATCATGACCTAGGACAGGCTGTAGAACTGAAACACACCTGTACAGTCTGTCCTGGCATCGCGAGGAAATATAGACTGACAAGATACGAGTTGAATGCGGCTGTGTATCCAAGCAGATAGGTCTACAACAATAGGGTCACGTGACACGCAGATCCAACCACGTCGTGATGAAGACACCAACTATGACGTCATTGTGATTATTACGTCACGTGTTTTTGATCGAGGCGAGCCCAACGCCCTTTATTTGAGATAATATTAATATTACCAGAAAAAGACACCGCACCTAGCGTTAAGAAATACAGTTCGCTCTCCTATGTAAAAGTATAAAAAAGTACACTTTTGCCCTGAACTATTAAAACGTTAAAGCGCTCCGAGTGTTTAAGGTTTAATAATAGTTCAGTTGTGGATAAATCTAAGGCAGAAAACAAAAAGATTAACAAAGTGTTGGACATTAATGGTGTGTGTTTCCTTCACATATAAAACGTAAAATGATATTGACATCCTCCAGACCATTTTTACATTTGGGATAAGATAAATTTATGCCATCTCCCTTCATTGTAATTCAAACCTGATAACCCTGTTCGTATAAAATTTCGTTCTATTTTGGTTACAAATAAGTGTAGAAGCTGTGAAAGTATTATCCCTTTAATGCGATGATACAATCTCTAATTTTAGAGAATTACCTTACAAATCCGTTTTAAACGAAGATGACAAATAACACTAAACATGAAATGGCACCGAAAGCAATATTGTTCTGTTGACGGTACATTTTGTATTGCTTTAAAATTCATCTCCCGAATGAAATGCAGTACTAGTATCTGTTTTACATTAACCAAAATGGCTGCTCCCTTGACGAGGTGTGTTTACCTGTGTTGTTCGTCCTTCGTTTACGCTCTCACAGAGTGAGTGAGTTAGTGTTTTACCTCCGCTTTTAGCAATATTCCAGCAATATCACGGCGGGGGAACACCAGAAATGAGCTTCACATGTTGTACCCATGTGGGGAATCGAACCCGGGTCTTCGGCGTGAAGAGCGAACGCTTTAACCACTAGGCTACCCCCACTCCGGCACAGCGATGACTTAACATAACTGCCACAAGCTAATTTGCATATCACCCGGACTTTTCTCTTGTTTGTAATCAAACGCGCTCATAATCAGAAGGACTGGACTCACGAAAGTCGGCGCTCTCTTCATAATGTTTTACATTTTACATATTCTTCCACAACTGCGACAGTAACGTTTATGACGTACATATTTAGCAACTGGCTGCATCGTTTGCATTCGATGACAGCACTCAAATGTAAACAAAGGATCGCTACGCAAATCGAAATTTTAGGATATTTTCTCAATGAAACTAAACCATTCTATCAAAGATGTTTAATAGTTGTGTAGACTCATCAAAATAAAAGTTGCGAAATATGTAAATTATATTGAATGGAATACAAGATGTGACGAATCGTCACATTTTTCAGGTATCATGCTAGCTTGCCACATGGATCTTTGCAGCTACCCCACCAACCCCAGCTCTCTCAGAGGCAACGGTGATATCCATCTGGTGCATTTGCAAAGTGATGTTTGAAATACATAATGCGCGGGTATCATTTAATATTTGCAGTGTGTTGCATATTTTGCTTGTGTTGCAGTATAAAGGGTTGTGGGGTATCCTAGTGCTTAAGCATTCGCTCGTCACCCTGAGAACTCCAATTGCATTAAATAATATAAATACTATATATTCATAACTGGTTCATCAATATGTAAACATATCACTTATTAGCAAGAAGTAAAATGACTCGGACATATTGATACATTTTACTTTTCAGCTAAAAGCATATTGGACACTTTATCGGAACAATGTGTTTGTATATGTGTGCACAATGCATTGTTATTTTACACATGCCCATATGTTCAAACAGGATGCATCTCAACCTGGCCTATGGTTACATTATTTACATTACAGGAGAGAATGGAGAAATTTGCTTCCTTTCACAAGGAGTGAAGCCTGAACTGGTGCGAAGGGAAAAGAACTTCATACAGAGGATTTTTCCAGGTAATTATGATTTGTTAATAAACCCATGCACGACCATACACAAGCACACACGTGCACACACACACTACTTGTAATTTCTGCAAAGGATTATTGTTCCAGAATGCACTTGTGAGTTAGTGTGATGAACTACATGTTTTGTTTTGTATATAATTTTATTTATCATCCAAAGATATTGCATGTGTGAGATCAAACGTTGACAGTAGATTTTGTACAATGTCTTGACAATGCTATGACATCATGAACTTGATGATGTCACAGTGCTATGACATCGCTGCACTGCAAGTCTAGTAGTAGTACTGTGTTCAGAGATGTACATTTTTCATTGAAAACTAATGAAGAGTGATGTTGATCACTGGATTGTCTGGTCCAGACTCGATTATTTACAGACCACCGCCATATAGCTGGAATATTGCTGAGTGCGGCATAAACCTAAACTCACTCACTCACTCTGATGTCAAATATATCAACACCCGTTGATAAAAGTAAACATATCCTCGGCAAGCCTTGGATATTGTAACTTTACCAACTCGTGTTGATATAATTGATATCAGAAGACACTTGGGTGAGATTATCTATGTATGAATCAGAATATATAAAATAGTGACAAACATAAAGAGCCTGTTTCCACACATTTGTGCATGCTCAAGGTGCCTACACAATATTACCCTGTATAACCCTAGCTGCCTGTGAGGCACTAGGTTTACCACATGACTTATCCCACCAGGTACCAATTCACTGCTGGGTGAACAAAGGCAATTCATGTTGAAACATCATGTACACATCAATAACACAAAGATGGTTGACAAAGTAGACAATAGTTTATTCATAACAACTTTTGTAATCATTCTGTAACAGTTACATTATAATACAAGCGGTTTTGTTGACTTCATTCTCTGCCAACTTCTAAGAAATGCATGTTTAACAAAACAGAACAGAATTTCATAATCACAACCAATATTCAGATAGTATACACCAAACACATTTCTGTTTCCAGAAAGCAGTTTTACATCTGTCATTTCCATAAAGCAAGCCGGAAAAGATGGCTACAGAAGACACCATCAAGACAAATGAGAAAGCAATGGCGTCAGAACATGTTCCTGTGCTTCTGTCTGTGAGCGGAACTTTTAAAATGCATAACAAATAATTACAAAACAACAATGCAACATAAACATATTTATATTTAACCATATATTTATGGCAAACATTAAATTGGATTGGTAAACAAGTACATATTGAGCCATTGGACACTTAGTGTATGAAGTAATTAATAAATCAGTGACAGTAGATTGTAATACAAGGCAAGCCAGATGGATATATGTGTTAAATATAGTTGCTGTTTATACAAATCAAGTCATAACTAAAATAAAAATCTTCAAGTATTGAATATGAAGTTTGGAGATGAACCTAATATTTGGATTTATCAATGAAATATATACTTCTGTACAACACTGTTTACAACATTTCATTTGGAAGATTTAGTTATTGTGTAAACATAAGGAAGAAATGTAAAGCTTTGTATGGAGCGATATACACAGAAACAAATAGTATTATCCAAAATATGTCTAAAACTGATTAAGATCAGTTCAATCAATCTTTATCACGGAACTTAAAAGGCTGCAGGTCTATTGTACATTTATATACACAATATTTACAACTGAGCAGCTGAAAGCATATGTAAAATATTTACAGATTACAAATTTAAAGCAGATTTTCTATGTATAATTGCAAAATAGATATACAATGACAGGTTCTCTAATTCAATATTTTCATTTGTTAATAATATAGTCATTTTATTTCATTTGGATGGGTATAATAGTAGGATGTTAAATATTTCTTTCTAAGGTTTTCATAGTGGGGCAGATAAAAGGAAAATGGTATTCATCTTCTACAGCATTAAGGTTACAGAGGTTGCAAATTCTATGGTTCTGGCGAGGAGTATTCATATAACACCCAGTTTCAACAAACAACTTCGTGCAATGAGCTACAAAAGAATAAAGAAGAATTTTTTGATAAATAATATTTCCAATGTTTATGATACAGACATTTAGAGGGTCGATAGATTGATTCAAGCCATCTTTGTTGCCAGATGTCTTTCATTCTTTGGGTCAGTGACAAAGAATTTTCTGGTTGGGACATGGCATAGTTAACAATAAGTAATCAGTACTTTATAACTTTAACAGTAGAATATATGTAATGATATTTCCCCCAAAATATGGATATTTCTAATTATATTTATCAAAACCTTAAGGGCTTGTACAGATGCCTGTTTTGTGTGGTTAATCCACTAAAGATGATTAGAAAATAGACTCTAAGATATTTATATACGTTTGTAGTTTTAGTTTTCGCCTTTGTAAACCCATCTTCAAGCTTCATCACTCCGATGGCTCCGTCATCCACCTATCAAGGTTTGTCTCCCTTTGGTCACATTAACATTTTGCCTGAGTTGTTGATCCCAAGCTGTAATAGGCCTGATATTGAGTTACAGCCACAGCAGATCCCCCCCCCCTAAGTTGAGAAAATAGATAATTTGTACATAATTCCTTAGGTATTTCAGGAGAGACAATATTCCTAACTTTGTGAGCATTAATTTTTATATTTAGGTAGGACTTATTTTCCTTACCTCATTTGTTTCTAAAACTTATATGAATGAGAATTTATATGCTTGTTTTTATCCACCTTGTCCAACATGTCCCACCTATAAGAGTCGGACTATGGAAGTAAAGTTCAGGAACTGAGACCCCAGTGAGGGCACTACACAAACTTCATCAACTATCTGGTTATGCCCACCTCTGGTATATGTGCATAATATGGACGATTAACATAAGAAGTGTTTGCTGTTATGTGGAGAATTCTCAAGATAGATTGTACAATTAAGTTGAAGTTTACAGGAATATAAGAACATAAACTTGAAACTGCTTGTATGTTATACTTATCATGTATGTTCCATTCCAGCCATGGGTGATGGCCTTCAGACCTTTCAACCAACACGTGGGACTAACAACTAACAATGGAGTAGAGATGCTTCATTCTCTGTTTAAGAGTGAGCAAAACATAGGACAGACATCAGCCTAACAGGGCTGATTGAACTTCTAATGAAACACCACAAGAGCAGACAGAGGTCCCTCCTTTGACTGCTTCAGCGATCCCCACAAGACCTTCTTGACCAAGAGAGGGTCAACATACTTTGACCACCTGCAGGAGGAGACTGAATGAGGTGATGTAGACTCAATCTATCCACAAAGGTGAATCAACTTACCAAGTGAGCAATCAAGGTGTTGTTTTAAATGAGGACATCAAAGATCTCTGTTCTTGTCAAGACTTTAGAAGATTTGTTTTTCCATGTGAGCATTTTCTGGCAGCATTATATCACAACACTACCAGAGGAGGCTTTACCCAAGCAATACAGAGGTTCTTGACCAAGAGAGGGTCAACATGCTTTGACCACTGCAAGAGGAGACTGAATGAGGTGACACCGAGTTAGTCTATCCACAAAGGTGAATGAACTTCCTGTAATGATCTCTGACCCTATCAGGTTTTCTAGTAGCTTATTCTAGAGTATTCCAGAACTTTGTTAGCATATGTTTTATCCTTAGGTATGACTTTTGTTTTCCCTTACATTATTTGTTTTCTTAAATGTTTGTAACTGAACTTATATTGATGGTTAACTTAAGTATTTGAGAATTGTTTTATCCAATTTGTCCAACATCATGTCCCACCTGGAAGAGTCAGACTATGGAAGTAAAGTTCAGGAACTGAGAGAGCTCAGTGGGGCACTACACAAACTTCCGTCAACTTTATGTTTATGGATAACTTCTGGTTATGCCCACTTCGGGTTTATGGGAATAAGATGCACGATTATCATTCTGAACATAAAAGTGTTTGTTGTTAAGTGGAGTCGAGAATGTCATTTGATGTGACTTTTATCCATAATACTTCTAACCTTATGTTTGAAGATGCATATTGAATGTATCATATATACATCTACATCATTTCACACAAACATGATTATTTATTTTTTTCATAAGGAACCGTGCAATCTACAGAATGGCATTAAGTGTTATTATTTTTTTTATTTGTTTGTTTTGTTTATATATATTTCTATTATATAATATGATAAATTTGTAAAGCTCCCCATATAATTTGGAAACTAAAACACTCTAAGGAGCTTCACAGAAAGATTCACAACTGCCACTGAGTGTAGGCTGATAGAAAGAGTTGGGCTTTTCTGCCCTGCTTAAGAATGTCATAAGATTTTCTCAAGATAGATTGTACAATTAAGTTGAAGTTTACAAGAATATATCACTTAAACTTGAAACTGCTTGTATGTTATACCTATCATGTATGTTCCTATTCCAGCCATGGGCTTATGGCCTTGGGACCTTTCAACCAACACGGGACTAACAACTAACAATGGAGTTGGGAGGCTTCATTCTCTGTTTAACAGTGAACAAAAACATACGACAGACATCAGCCTAACAGGGCTGATTGAACTTCTAATGAAACACCACAAGAGCAGACAGAGGTCCCTCCTCAGACTGCTTCAATGATCCCCCACAAGACCTTCTTGACTAAGAGAGGGTCAACATACTTTGACCACTGCAAGAGGAGACTGAATGAGGTGATGTAGACTCAAATCTATTCACAAACGTGAATCAACTTACCAAGTGAGCAATTAAGGTGTTGCCTTAAATGAGGACATCAAAGATCTCTGTTCTTGTCAAGACTTTAGAAGATCTGTTTTTCCATAAGCATATATTCTGGCAGCATTATATCACAACACTACCAGAGTGGCTTTACCCAAGCAATACAGAGGTTCTTGACCAAGAGAGGGTCAACATGCTTTGACCACTGCAAGAGGAGACTGAATGAGGCGATGTAGACTCAAGTCTATTCACAATCTATCATCGCTAAGGTTGGGGTCAACTCATGATACCCGGGGTCGTCAAACATTTGATTTTGATGCTCTGGTGCGAGCTGTGGATCCACAACAGACTGTTTGTGCGCCCCAAGTCTCTCAGGTTCCCCAACTTGGGAATGCCCTCACAAGATGAGGTGTAACATAGTCATGTTTACGCTAGAAACGTGATAGCTTGTCCACTGAATACATGGGTGATAAGATCTACCTGCTGGGCTGATAAGACTAACGGTCAACCAGCACCTGGACAAACATCTTGTTATGATACTGATGTGCTGATTGTCCACGAAATATAGGGTCGAGGTATATAGCTGGGACAAACATCTTGTTGTGATACCCAGACTACGACAACGCTGCTGATAAACTTCTCAACCCAGAGTTGAACATGGCAGTGGTAAACTGAAACTCAGATCAACCAATAATTTGTTGACACAACTACTGTCAGTAGAGACAAACAAAGTGTTTACCACGAAAACCATGGCAATAGGCAGATCTGGTCGGTCGGAAGGTTATGACCAGCCTTCTAGAAATGCAGCATAAATACCCCAGGTATTCAGTGGCAAGGCAGACTTGTCTCGGCGACTCCCTTGAGTCATAGAACGCCTCAGTTCCCAGTTCTAGTAATCTAGACTGTTTGCATATATTGTAACTATGCATTTTTGATGTTTGATTTTCTCTGTGATGTCCTTGGCATGCTGATTAAAACCTTCGTCGTTGAAAACCCACTGACTCCTGTTGTGCCAGCCTCAACGTTGGGTCTCTTGTGAACATTTTGTGGTTACTCTGTTACAAGAAGGGGTGCTCTCTTGCGTTTTTGGTGCTGTGACCCGGATTCACTTCTGAGAAGGAATGCACTGGAACGATACTGGATTGACGCCCTTCAGTGTTCGTGTATCTTCCAGAGGTGACAGGTGAGTAACTCGCAGAGTGTATTTTCTTGAGTCTCAACAAAATGGCTGAAATGGGGGAATTTTTGCAAGGCATGGCATTACAGATAACAGGACAATTGGCTCACTTGAGTAAGGCAATAGGGACGCAAGGCATAACCAACACAATTCAACCATTGAAGGGGAACAACAAAAGTTAAAGGAGTGGATAAGGTCGATTGAAAAATACGCAGTTTTGGCAGGAACGGAACAAAATGATATAAAACTAATAGCGTATCAAGCTAGCAAAGGGACAATAAGTAACTTTATCCATAGGTACATTAGTGATCACCCACGAGCCACATGGGAAGAGTTAAAATTGGAATTAACCACCCGATTTGCAGAAATTGCCGATCCACAACATGCATTCATGTTGTTGCGGACTTTGAAACAAAGGCCAGGTGAGAGTGTTCAAATGTTCGGAGAAAGGCTCCTAAATTTGGCTGAGGATGCCTATGCTGGCCTGGGGCGGGATGGACAGCAGGGTCCAGCCATAGAAAGACAACTTGTGGGATTTTTCATAGATGGGCTCGCTCATGATTATCTTAAGATGAAGGTGATGAGAGACAACTCTCACAGTCTGGCCAATGCTTTGGCAGCAGCCACCCAGGAACAAAACATTAGGGCTAGATTTGATTTGAGTCATAGAACGCCTCAGTTCCCAGTTCTAGTAATCTAGACTGTTTGCATATATTGTAACTATGCATTTTTTGAAGTTTGATTTTCTCTGTGATGTCCTTGGCATGCTGATTAAAACCTTCGTCCTTGAAAACCCACTGACTCCTGTTGTGCCGGCCTCAACGTTGGGACTCTTGTGAACATTTTGTGGTTACTCTGTTACAGAGGTTCCAAGGTCTACCTCCCCATCTTCCCTATTGGAAGACATTCCTACACCGGAAGGCAGTACAGCACAACCTTGAGAAATGGGGCGTGAGGGCGTGAGGCCTTTGTTCCAGATGAGGACCTCAACGAAAACGATCGCAATGACCTACCTACATTTAGGCAAAGCGACCAGACTTGAAAAAAAATATCAAAATCAGTGCAGAGGAAAGTGAAATTATTTGTATTCCTATTAGGGCCACTGATTTTTGTATTATCTTGAAAATTCAAGATATTAAGTTGAAAATTCAAGAAAAAAATTCACTCCTGTTTGATGCCAGGTTTGACAATGAAGATTTCTTTATTGGAAACAAAATTGAAGACATGGACCATCTCCTGAATAGAATCAGACCTCCGTATTTAATCAACAGACTGCCTAGAAAACTGAAAAACTACCATCGCTGGAAAGCCTCTGAAATTCGTTCTTGGTTTCTCTTCTACAGTAGTCCTTGTTTACAGGGCATCCTACCTCATATATACCTTCAACACATTGCTTGTTTAGTGGAAGGAATCTATCTTCTCTTGATGGAATGCATATCACCACATATCTGCTCTGAGCGAAGACCTTACTACATGCATTCTACAAGAATTCAACTGATTTGTATGGAGAAAACTTTGCTGTACTAAGCGTTCACAATTTATGGCATTATGCAGACTTTGTGAAGATGTGGGGGCCATTATGAGCATGGTCATGCTTTGGATTCGAATCCTGCAATGGAGAAATGTTGCAGTCCGTGAATGGCAAAGGAAATGTTTGTTCAGAAATATTTTGGTCTCTCCATGCAGAAAAGCAAATAGACCTTGGAATGAAAAGCATGCCAAAAAGGACAAGTGAAGTCTTACTTCCAGAAGGTGCTGCTTGGTAGCAAAAGAAAACAGCCAAAAACTGCTCAAGCATATCAATGCGAGTACATTCCACCCCTCCAAGATCTTTGAAAATGATTTGCTGAGGGATATGAATATCAATAGCACAGAGGTGACAACTGCAAATAACAATGAAGCATCCCAAGCCAAGGTTCTGAAGATAGTATTGTAGTGATGTTATTATGTTATAGATAATATTATTAATGGTTATACATACATGTTAGTGTGCTTAGTATAAATGTTGTAAATGAAACATAGTGTAACAAAGTAGGCACGTAGAATTAAAGGCCGGGGTTCAAACCTATACACAGATGGGGTGTGGCCTCCTGCCTTGCCAAAGCTGTCTTTCAATGCAAAGCAATGCAGTATTCAAGTACATTCCATG